TTGAAAAATAAATCTGTTCTTTTTTTCTTATAAAAGTCTAAATAAAACAAAAATGTTTGTGGTAATTTTTGACTGTAACTTTACAAACAGCAGCTCATAGTTTTCTTCTGTTTTAAATGAGCTTTTAAAACTTCTTATCTCAGTTCTGCAGCTGTGAACTCCACTGATGCAACTCTTGCTCAACGTCTCATCATCTGTGTCATTTCCTTCCCTGGGTGTTTTTATCATTGCATATGTTCCCATTTTAAGCTTTTATTCTCACATTTCTATCACACCCATCATAATTTGTCTGTTTTAATGAAAACATTCTTGAATTTGGCAGTTTTAGTCATACTGTACGTGTCTTTATAATTTAAACAAAATCTCCTTTTTAGTTTGTCTCTTGCTGCTCAAACACCTACAGAACAAATGTTTGTCATGTTTTCTGTTTTTTTGGACAAATTATTTCAGCTTAAACTCAAGGATGCAGAAAAACTGCATAAATGTGGCTTGAAATTGTATCTGAAGTTGGTAAAAGGAAGGAGAAACGTTGAGTCAGTGGATGACTTCACAATCTGCAATATCTGAAATTTTACCAAATTTTTAAAGTGTTGAAATAAAAGCACGTGTTCATGACATGTAATGAGTTTCAGCTGCAGAGAGAAGTGTGTGTTAATGAGTCTGAGTCAGTACTTTGCTCAGCTCAGACTTTATTGATGAGCTTTTTGTTGAACTGCTGTATTTGGCAGAACTTGCAGTGTCAGAAAGTGACCAGAAGAGAGCAGAGCTCCCCACCAAACCTTACAGCGGAATTACACTTTCAGTATTTCAGTGCAGAACAATAAAAAAAAAACTATATTCTTCCCATAATTGAACAAAACAAGAAGTCAGTTAATAAAACTGGTTTATTTAATAAACACAAATGTTTCACATTCACATCACTGAAAGAATACAAGTAAAAGGACTTATTTTTGGACTTTACATCACCCACTGCACTGCTGGGAAGACATGGAGTCACATTTTTGAAACTATTTATATACAGCGGGTAAAATAAGTATTGAACACGTCACCATTTTTCTCAGTAAATATATTACTAGAGGTGCTAATG